TACTACTCAGCTCATGGCGACAGAGTAAAAACAGGTGTAATAATCGGTTTTTATCTCAGAGCATACCGAATATGCAGTGATGAGTACTTGGGCGATGAGCTGGCGTACATAGAAAATGTATTCAAGGACTTGAAGTACCCAAAAGCGATGATTATCAGATGTAAATTAAAGGCAAAGAAAATTCGTGATAGGATTCCAAAAACTCAGAAAGAGAAGAAGAAACACAAAGTCATTGTTGTGCCACATTCCAAACATGTTGACACCATCACCAACTTTTTGAAAGGATCGGATGTGGTCGTCATAAGCAAGACGGGAAAAAGCATAGAACAAATAGTGAGAAGCAAACGGAACGCACGACATGAGAACAGCATTGTTTATAAGATCCCCTGTCTTGGGTGTTCCAAGCCATACTATGGCGAAACCGGTCGCGGTTTGGACATACGGCTGAGGGAACATCGGAAAGATATACAATATCAGAGAGACAAAACCATTGTGAAACACACTCATGAATGTGGAGCATTGCCAGACTGGAGAGCGGCTAAGAGTGTCAAAGAAAACATTGACAAAATGACAAGGATAGCGCTCGAGGCGGCCATTCTTGAAATAAATGAGTGCATGAACCCCAAAAGTGGTAGGATAACATTAGCCGAGACAGCCGCAAAATTGATTCTATCTGTTCATCAACTGTAAAATTATATGTGTAGGTATATACATTGTACATGTTAATAACGAGATAGGTCACTACTGAGTGTTGAACTTCTCCCCAGTGAATGTAATGCATTGAGATGTCCACGTGAAATGTTACCGTAGGTTTTCAAGTGTTTAGGATTGAACATGGTATTTTGTGTCAATTATTTAGGACCAACTGATGACGATATTATCGAAACGCGTTTTGGTCCTAATATAAATTATTTTGAATAATTGACTTTTGCCATATATGTCACTATGAGCTTAAACAATTTAGTTATCTATGTCAGTTTGAAGTTTGAACCCAATTTTCTATATAAATTTGACTGTGCTTATTATGCAAGATGTAGAGCTGTATTAGTATGTGTCTGTAAAGCTGTATTAGTATGTGTCACTTCGGCCCCAGTAAACATGCCGACATCGGCCCGACGTCGGGCCGAGGCTCGGTCCGACGTCGGCCCAACGTCGGTTCAACCTCGGCCCGACATCGGCTGGACGTCGGATATGCCCGCATGTTCCGACGTCCAGCCGAAGTCCAGCCGACGTCGAGCCGACGTCGGGCCGAGGTCGTTCGCCGAGGTTGACGAGATCGTTTGTCGTTGGACCGACGGGGCCGACGTCGGCATGTTTATTGGGACAACACGCCCAAAATATCAACCGGCGCGGCGGCGGGATTCGAGCCCCCAGTCGCCGACGTCGGCATGTTTACTGGGACAACACGCCAAAAGCATCAGCCGGCGATGGGATCCGAACCCCGTGTCATTTGAACGCGAGGTTAGTGCGCTAAACACTACACCACGCAGCCAGATAGCGAATGCAGTTTGTTTTGTTGGGTTATGCCCTTTCGGTCTGACAAGACCATTTCAGAGCCGGAAGGATGATAGGATGGAGACATTGGTCTTCTTGGCGAGCACCCTGGGTCCAGTTCATATAGAGTCCCTGGTCCCATTGCTGTTACGTGACACTTATTGGAAAGGGCGACCCCACAATGGATTCATATAGCCACTCTTACACACCTGCACCAACGTTTCCCAAAGTGTCCCTTTGATAAGTGGCACTTTGGCAAAGTGACACTTGCCGACTGGCCTTTCTATATGAACTGGACCCGGCCCTGGTGAGTTGCCGGGGCTGAGCCTGACCAAAGGATAGGCCGAGCAGCCAGCCCCCAAGCACTCACCGCACCCGGCTACGGGCGAGCTCGGCTTACGGGCAATCCCAAATGGGATAAAGTTTCCCGTCCAGTCCGGATCAGGGGGTTGCGGCGTGGAGGAAGATTTGAGTTTCCTGAGGATATTTTGAATACAGAAGCTCTTTATGAAACATGAAACATGTATTTTATATTATTTTAACGGTCAAAACAGCGGCCGATGTCGGTCCGACGTCGCCCCGACGTCGGCCCGATGTCGGCTGGACCTCGGCTGGACGTCGGTACATGCGGGCATATCCGACATCCAGCCGACGTCGTGCCGAGGTTGGACCGACGTCGGGCCGACGTCGGCATGCCGATGCCGAGTTGCCGACGTCACCCCGACGTCGGCCGACGTCGGGCCGACGTCGGCATGTTTACTGGGGCGGCCGCCGACGTGACACATACTAATACAGCTTTACAGACATATACTAATACAGCTCTACAAAGACTCAACCAATATACGTACTCAGCCAATATACCTACCTGTTCAGTGAGATAAACTATCAATAATGGCTTACATAATTTTGAAAGATGTTAACAAAGGGACATATGTGAATGCTTTTTTACTGGTTTGCTTGACTTGTATGTTTTGTCTATGTTAGCGGTTTTGTTATTAACTTATGACTCAATCCCACGCTTGTGGAGATAGCTGCGATCGTCTCACACCAGGCCGGCAAGCGGTCATGTGCCGATCGCTGATGAGTGATGAGTGCGTCATAAACACGGTCACGTGACCGCCCAGGGTGTGATGGTGGCCGACCTTGGGGTGGCTGTACCCGAGTCAGGCGGGTGTGGTGTTTCGTCCCACCACCACACCCGCAGAGCTCGCCACCACAGCTGTCGAGCGCCGACCGATAGGGCCACACCTGTAAATCCCAGTGTTGTGACGGTCGAACGGTGCTCTCTCAGACGACCAGCACGCAGTGGGGTGATGATCAGAGCAACGTCACGGTGACACAGGATAGAAACGTTACGGGATAAGTTTAAGTGGGTTGTTTGTTGGCATGAGGCATTTCATAATGCTGTGAAATTCGATTTTCTGTAGGTATGATAACTGTATTCGATTTTCTGTAGGTTACGTTATTCATTCTAGATTCGAATGGATCCTTTTGATCAATGGACGGGATACATGTATTATCCAAAAACTTGTGCTAAAATTTGTTTTTTCAAGCCAAGGAGTAGTGAGCTACTGAGGGAAGATTGTGGACAGTAGAATGAGCTCATGTGTGTAAAGATTAATTCAAGCGTCATATTACGAGCTACGGTACCTGACATTTTAGCGTTTTGGGAGGCTGCTAGAAAACCCCTGCATTTGCCAGGTGCCAGTTTATCGTGGTTCAAGTGCCGTTTGAAAGGCTGGATAATGGATATTCATTTAGCTGTTTCACCGGAAATATTCGCGATATGTATTTCGGCTACAGATGTCATTATCCATTGTCCATTGTCTGATGTCTTTTATCTCGCATCGTCCGCCTGAATCATGCTGTACCGCATTGCCCCGTAGTTTCTATTCCAGCCAACAGATGTCCCTAGTGGTCGTCCGCCTGAATCATGCTGTACCGCATTGCCCCGTAGTTTCTATTCCAGCCAACAGATGTCCCTAGTGGTCGTCCGCCTGAATCTTGCTGTACCGCATTGCCCCGTAGTTTCTATTCCAGCCAACAGATGTCCCTAGTGGTCGTCCGCCTGGATCATGCTGTACCGCATAGCCCAGTAGTTTTTTATTCCAGCCAACAGATGTCCCTAGTGGTCGTCCGTCTGGATCATGCTGTGCCGCATAGCCCAGTAGTTTTTGTTCCAGCCAACAGACCCTAGTAGTCCGCCTGGACCATGCTGTGCCGCATTGCCCAGTAATTTCTTTTCCAGCCAACAGATGTCTCTGACGTCAAACGTCTGGATGATGCTGTGCCGCATGTCTCGGCAGAGTATTTGACGCGGAAAAACGGTGGGAGTCGGAGACTCATAACACACGGAATAGCCGTGTGTTTCGTGTGTTATTCTGTAACACACGGAATAACACACGGAATAACAGTATGCTTATAAAAGCACTCCGCAATAAATTTAGGTTTCATTTTAGCACAACCGTTTCAAGATCGCTGCACAAATGTTCCAAGTGAAAACCAGAATGCCTCACACCGTTCCGTGCTTGTATCCTCAGGATACAGAAATCCTTCTCCTCCGCGCCGCAACCCCCCTCCGGGCTGGACAGGCAACTTTATCTCATGCGGGCTACTCCCTTGGAGCGGCACCGCTGCTCCCGAGGGAGCGCACCCCGTAGCCGGGTGCAGTGAGTGCCTTGGGGCTGGGTGGCCTGTCCTCTGGACGGGCTCAGCCCCGGCGACTCACTAGGGTGCCTGCCCAGACCAATGTCTCCCCCTATATCCTATCATCCTCCCGGCTCTGAAATGGTCTCATTGGACCGAAAGGGCCTAACCCAACAAAACAAACAAACAAACCAGAATGACTAATGCCTATAGCATTCCGCCATTAAGCGAATTTCAGTTTTCCATTTTCGCTTCTCTGTCACAACACAACCACAGACCAATCAACACCTCCTGCACACCTTTCAAACCTGGAAAGCTCTTTTCCCATTGCAGTAATCTATTGGCGACCTCCCCCCCCCCCCCAGCAACATTGTAAGCTGTTCTCCAAGGCAGTCCCGTGAACTGACAGCCACTGTGTATTGACGTCAGCCGGACCCGGCAGCTGTCGCCGCTGATACCGGTTGCACAGGCGAATTCAGCACCATTCCCACGCCGTGGCCGGGTATGTTACGTCACACCCCGCTCCCCTTCAGGCGAATCACGCGGCCGCCACGGCTCCTCCCGGTGGTGGAATCGTACTATATACCGTGATTCGACCATGTCATCTCAGCTCTATCGCGCCCGGCAAGCCAAACCGGGCGTGGCATTGATAAAAACATCCTGAAACTTGTGATAGGTGATCCACCAGTCAGACCCAGACTTTTGAGGGAAACTGCACACCCGAAACCAGTGTTCTAAAATTGGATTTTGGTTGGGTGTGACGATGAAACAAAAAATCCGAGGACGAAAAAAGGAGGTAAATAACTATAGTATTTTCGGACAAGGGTGTAACACGACCCTAATCATGGGAAAACAGCAGCCTTGCTAAAAATGTATTTGTGTCAACTGTATAAACATTAAAATTGGCACGCCGGCATCAACACTCCACGCCACTCGGTAACAGCATACTGGGTGCAACATGTTAATACAATGAATTATGAAGATGAGATACAGCGTATGAGCACGACCGGCGCGCCGGCAGTGCCTCTCGTTAAAGCCCGGCGCGTGCCACTGTAACACACGCCCGCGCCCCTGACGGCCCTCAGCCCAGACTAGCAGAGCAAGCACTAATAAAGCGGACGTACCCTGCGTCTCCAACTCCTGTCTAGCTACCCCATGCCCTGTTCATGCAGCCTTCTCGCTCCCAGCTCCAGAAAACCCACCGTCGCTATTTCTAATCTCGCATTTTGAAACCCTATTTGCATATCCTTATTGCTTAGCGTGCTGAGCAGATGCCGCATGTTTAGCAAATATCTAGCTCCGAAATCACGTTGCATTTGTCCAGAACGCTAAGCAGGCGTTGGTAACGCCGCGCGCCAATAGGTGTCGTTACAGTTCGTCGTGGAGCGCGGCGCCGAAGTCTGTGGCCTGTGAGCCCACAAACAGATCGTACTTGTCGAGAATTTCCTCCTTGCTGAGTACTCCGTCACGGTTGACGTCCGCCTCGTGGATCAGATGCTGGCTCTCCGACACGGAGTGGTCGTAATCATCCGGCATGATCCAGGCCTTCACCTGCGGCAGACGGACGGGCGGGCCAGTCAGATGGGATGCAGGGCAAACCGGATGGCAGAGGGTGCCAGTGGCACACGGGGTGAGTGGGAGGTAGAATCGACTGCACGCTAGCAGGGCAGTGGATCATTGTGCAGCCCGTGCAGCAAATCATATCGCACAATAAAACAAGGTATTGGCAACGAGTTTTTAAGTATGTGTGTTATTTCTTCATAAAATTTCAAGGAAATGCGTACTGACGAGCACTGGAAGCACATGACAAATTTAAAACTCATAGCATGACAATCGTGAAAGCATAGAAATTTCATCAGTTTTATAATCAGTAACCACCCTTCAGCGCACCCAAGTCTTCTTACCTCGTCAAAGTCGAGGTAGCCGTCTCCGTTGGCGTCACGGATGCTTTTGAATGTCTCCCGCTCGTGCTGAACCCACTCTGGCTCATCTCCCTCCGACTCGTCGTACATATCGCCTGGGAACACAACGGAAGGCTGTCAGGGCGGCGTGCGAGCACGGTGGAGCAGTGGAAGGAGCATGGGCACTCGGTAACACGTCGAGCGGTGGATGTGCCAAATTCCTAAAGAACTTAGGGATTCAACACAGACCACCTCAGATGGATTGGAAGGGGTGGGTAGGTTCCTTTCCACAGCATGGCACAAGCATATGATTGTTCACTTCATCGTCCAGCGTTCTTGCACGGATTCATTAGATTTATGAACGCAAGTAACGTCGTAAGAGAGCGGCTGAGCCGTGCCCCGTCGGTCCATCTCCAATCCGTAAAGATGGCTCCACACTCACCAATGTACTCGTCGACGGAGATTTTGCCGTCTCCGTCGGCGTCGATATCCTCGATGGTTTCCTTGACGACCACGTCCTTCATGTGTTCGGCCTCCTCCGGGTGGAGGAACGTGCTGAACTCGTGGCGCGTGAGCTTGCCATCCTTGTCCTGGCGGTGGAGACACGGGAGGGCATCAGCGTCAACCAGTTACGACACACACGTTACGACCGATGACTTATCATCAGCAGAGGTCACACAGTACACACCGAATAGGGATAAGTCACATGCCGTGGCAGCGTCCTACCTATTGACGAATTTTAACGACATATTGCAACAACAGAAACTACTCACTGCTGACAGTTCATTCTAATTGTAGCGAGAGGCTCATTTCGGACGTTCCGGAATCCTAGCCCCACGCCCTGCCCTTTGCCCATCCAGTCACCCACACCAAGCACTGCACGCCGTTAAACGTCCCCTGCTCCCGTTACCGTCTTTACTCCATCCGGGCCAGTTACCTGATCGGCGGCGTCCCAGCGGCGCCGGTCCCGGTCAATCATCTTCTTGTAGTCGGCCGCCTCAGCGCCGTCTTCCTCGGCCTCTCCGATGAAGCCGTACGTGGTCTGCTGGTAGTCGTCCCACGAGATGTGGTCCTTGTCCTGGCTGGCGGCCGGCGCCTGCGCCTAGAGAGGATGGGAGGGAGATGGTCAGTATGAAAGAACGAAAGAAGCCAAGTTGAAGCTTGTAAATAAGTTCATCGCACTGAACTGCACTGCACTGAACATACAATAGGTACGCTAAGACAGAGGTCGCCACCGCGACCTCTGACATTACAGGGCGACATCGGTGAACTCTGCGACAGGGAGGTGACCTCTCCCGGGGCGCGAGCAGCACCCGACTGACCTCCCACTGTCGCTGCACCTCCTCCTCCAGGTACTTGCTCTGCGCCTTTTTGATCCAGTCGATCAGCTCTTGTTCCGTGATCTCGCCGTCACCGTTTGTGTCGATCTTGTCCACAATGGCGCTGTGGAACAGCACGAACAGACAGCGCTCAGGTCACCGACCGATTTTCTGAATTCATCATAGCTCAGTGGATAGGTAAGTGATAGATGAGCGACAAATGAAAACAAAAGGTTCCCTTGCCTGACGTGGTTACTCGGTACGGGTGTATGAATGAGGACTGCTAGCTGAATACTTACGCGAGCCGCTCCTTGCTCTCCTCAGGGGTGAGGTTGCCGAACTCGCTGGCCTCGTCGCCCAGGAAAGCGTCGTGGTCGTAGTCCACATTGTGCTCATCGCCCTCAAAGTGATCCTCGTCACTCAGTTTCTGTCGAAAGCCATCAAACACATCAAATTAAACTTGGAATTAACTTAAGATTAAATGTGATCATGATGGTAAGGCAGGAATGCAATAATTCATTCACACCATTCTTAATAAAGCAATAAAATATTTTGTAGCTTACCTTTTCTTTAACTCTCCCACCATGTTCATTGCCAGCAACAATAACGAAAGTGGACATGCATAGCCAGGCAACCACTGTGAACTTCATCATGTTTCTGTGGGAAAACAAGCACGAATCATTAAGGTCAACACATATTGTTATGTGCTGTCTTAATGCTAATAAAACATTAATATCAAAAATAAAATACCTGACCCTCACACTAATAGGGGGGTAAAAAAAAACCTCGGTTTTTCATGAATAACTCGCGCAAAAAGCGGCCGAGTAGGGCAAAACTTTTAGTACTCTAGACTTGATCAATTTTACACCTACCCCGAAAAAGTTATGACCCTGACCCAAAGGACATTTGACTTGTGACCTGTTCCTCTAAATCATATTTGGCTGGAATCACATTTTGGTGTACGTTGGGTCACATTATCTGAGCCTGAGAATTTCCAGTCTTTTTGAGGTTGGAAATGTTCAAACATGTGAGATGATGTTGGTGATGGTCCAATGCATTTTTGTGGGTCTCAAGGTCACATGAAGATCAGGTCAAGGTCATTGACCTTAGATGACCTTGGTTTACTTTATTTTGCATGTTCCTATAGTAGATTTTGGAGTTAATTTCAAATTCAGCACCCATTTGAACATTTACAATGTAGTTCTGGACTCGTCTGGTGCCTTTGTAACATGTTACAAAACTGTCAGTCGTGGCTGACACCCACTATGGACAGCCAGCAGGATGCCTACTGGTTGACCTGACCTGACCTGGCCTATAGGCATGAAGCCTGAAGGCATCACCTGTGACCAAAACCAACACGAAATTCTTGATCAGCACCCTCAAAAAGATAAAAACGTTACAACCTCACCTTATGAAGTTCTAGCCTCTCTAACAGGTTTCAATTTTCCTGACCTTTAGATCTAGTTTGAAAAAAAAATCAATCTGACCTGGAAGGTCAACCAATGATTGAGGATCTAGAAATTGGGTACGGTCATCTTCCTCTCATCAAAGACTCAGTGCCTGTGCCTGTGGACTCACAGGACTCACCTGTGGACTCACAGGCACCTGAGGGGTGTTCACGGGCACCGCACACTGCTGCGTGCGGTGTGTGCGGTGCGTCCAGCAGGCATGGGGGTAGGGGATGGGTAGGCGGCTCTGACGTCACGGATGCGTGCGGTGGACAGTCCGCTGTGGCCAGTCCCGACCGGCCACAGCGGTCGCTGTGTGCGGTGACGGAAGGCTGACGTAGGGACGCAGTGGGCGGAGCTTGGAGGCTGTGTGCGGTCGGACCGCACACAAGGCCCGTGAACAGCCCTCTGATCATAAGTGAAGCTGAAAGCTCTTGCTCCATCAGGGGCCAAACAGCAAGTGGGATTGAACAGACCTCCCCATATGTTAGCAATTGGCAAAACACCAATATGGGCGGGGGCTGAGACCCCCTGGCATTGAAAAGTGAAGTGTTGGGAATATTAGGAACCTCAGACCCTTCTGGATTCGCCAGTGCTTCAGTTAAATATAACTATACCTACAAGTGCATGAATTAAGCATAACAATGAATAAATACTGTAAATACCTACCGGCCGGCGAATAACAGCACAAGCCAAACTGAGGAAGGGGAGAGAGGGGAGAGAGGACAATACACTCCTCATAAACAAATGACGAATAAGCTATGTTCCATGGCAAATTCTGCCTCAGAAGCTGCCACCTATGAGCCAATGAACGACACAGCTTGCAAAAAAGCCTCTGCTGATTGGTCAGCTTTGTGATCGACAGCGCAAACGGAAGGCTTAGAACGCCACTGAATTATCGCCACGTAAGAACTGACGCAACAGCGGCACGACTGGGACTGATGATTGCTGCCATATGAAGTGAAAGAAAGGAAATAGTCCTAAGCTGAAATATTTTACCGTCGTCCCCGCGCCGAGTAGTAAATGAATATTGCCCGCGCCCGCTTGTTGGGCTCCACTGAGGACTGGCTCCACTAGTGAAGTAAATATTAAATGCATTGACGATGTTGCCATTTCTTGCCCCCTCATAAGTGGTAGCACAACCCTAAAAGGTGGCATTCGGTACGGTGACCTCACGTGGTTTAGTGGCAGGTAGCCTCAGACTAGATTGATTGCGCACGGTGGCCGATCCATTACAGTCGTCTCTTACAATTCGACAAGTCATTCTAATTGGGGAATACGGAGACCAAGGCGATGTGGAAAGAGCAAGATGTTCTGCTACGTATCTACGCGATCACTTCTGGCGTAGCTGACACGAAGTCTTGCACCCGACAGCTCAATCATTAAGGAAGAAAAGAAAACAGTTCCCACCCTCCGGACTTCCGCACGAAGCTCTCCGTCTCGATGTACCCATAAGTGTTCGCCTTGGTTCCTGGCACCGCACCATACCGTGCTCACTGTATACGCCAAACACAACACAGTCTCATGATGAATGCATTATAGACCAGGCTCTAGTACACGGATGGGTACAACAATCTACAAAATGTTTGTTATTAAAACCCCCAGACTCGTGCCAGACGCGACTGAGGTAAATGATAAGAGAACCGCGAGACAGGGACTCAGTAGTTGCCACGTCTAACGCTGACCAAACACAATGCGAGGCGATTACGAACAGCGGGCAGGCAGGCCGGGCGCGCGCCCACGACTGCGACAAGCTCCATACACCACAACACAACCGGCCGGGGCACCGGCGGCGGCACGGCCAGTGGCGCCGTACAAAACACAGGGGCGGCGCGTCTCGCGCCGGATAGCCCGACAACCCGTCGGCCAGGCTGCGGGGCGGACCACAGCGAGCGACTGGCTCGGACCGTGCGGGGGTCCTCTCAGGGTCCTCTCGGCCTCCGCCGGCCGCGTTGGCACGTACCGTACGCGCCGGGCGCGCCACGTGCGCGCCGCCGTGTCACGCACTATCACATGGCCGTCTCTGTGTCCGAGGGTAGTCCGAGGCCGCGCGGCGGCTGGCAGTGAGCGGCAGTTTTGATTGGCGGCGTGCGCTCGCGGTCTCACTTTCTCCGTTTGTCAGTGTGCGGGCGCGGCGGGCAGCCGCCTCAGGCCTTGACCTGCAGCTCTGGCAGTCCGTTGGACGCCTCCGAGTGCCGGTCACTCTCCGAGAGGCTGCTCGTGTCGCCGGTGGAGGCGCCCGACGCCACGGCCGCCGCCGACTTGGCCTTGGCGCGGAACTCGGTGATGATGACGGTCACGTCGTTGATGGTGACCGCCTGGTGTGTCGGCTGACTGCGGTCCACGCCGCGCAGCCGCGACAGCCTGCCGGGGCAACACGGGCGGCCGGTGAGCGTCAGTGATCCATGGATATAGGAGAGAGGGTCACTGATACACGGAAAGCAGCATCACTGATTCATGAACACTGAACAGGTCGAGCATTACTGGGTTACGGACAGGAGCATCACTGATTCAAGGACAGGAATGTCAATGATAAACGAACATGAGTGTTAATGACTCGAAACCATGTTAAATTAAAAAGGTGGCTAATGAAGCTTGAAATAATAAAACACCACTTAAAGTAATGCTATTCTACAGGATCACTGTGCACAAGGTGCATATGCAGACTTTGATGGTGATGATGCCAAACCAATTTATATTTCATCACTGGTACTTGATGCGAGATCACAGATAAGTGTATCATGCTTGAAACTTTTAATCATCAGATTTTCAATGATGGCACAACATTCATTGCTATTTGTTTCTATTAGCAGCTATGTTAACTTACACAGCTACTAGCAACCCAGACATCAGTCTAAGCATTTCTTTAAAACTCACCCCTTGAGTGTTTTCCCATCCTTCTTGTCAAGCCGCTTGGCCTTTGGAATGGGAGGAGTGTAAGTTTGAACTTGCTGGATGTCCTGGTTAAGACGTGGTTTCCTGTAAAAAAGGCATGCTTTACACACCAACAATCAACATTGACAGTGATATCAAGCTCATAAATCCAGCCATTCTGGATAAACAAGGGCAGCCCTTGCACATACTCCCAAGGTAGGTAGGTACCCAACCTGTGCCACATATAATTGCTTTGTTCCAACTTCCATGGGTGCCCACCTATATGCCAACTTACACAATCCACAGTCCTTGAACACTTATAAAACATAGGTAGGTACTCAAATGTTGTTTTGTTACTTTAATAATAGAGTGCATCAGTGCATACTGCTATACCGGTTACATCCAATGATAAATAGGCAAATTTCATTCAAAGAAATTAACCACTACATATGTAACATTTATGCTACTGATATATGGTTCGCAACGAGCCCACCAGTGCACTAGCAAGTATGTATACCTTGTAGATGTGCCCTTCCTGACATCACACATTAGACATTTAAAGGCCTCGGCAGTGTTCTTGTATGTGCACACGCTGCAGTCCCAGGAGTTGTCATCAACAGGCTTAGGTGCTCGCTTGGTTCGTTTTCTGCAAAATATAGAAGTCATCAAACAATTTGCTATAACAAACTACAAAGTATAGGGATGTGGTGTAATAATTATCACCTGGGATGTCTCACCAAAAGAATTACCAGAGCAACAATACCAGATGCATTATGATCTTTAAGTTGACGTATCTTGGTTGATAGATCGTGATTAACACATACATTTTAAAGCTATCATGAACAACTTTTGATTGAAATGCGATTATGTGTCATGGAAAACATCATGCTATCTATCTTATTAAATGGAAAATAAATTTCTAAAAAGGTATAATAAGCAAAGAACAAATAAATATTTTGCAATGATGTGAGGATATGTTAGGAAGAACAAGCATTTGTAAAAGCAGAAGTAAGATAAGTAGCTGACAACTAAATATTTGACTACTTGCGAATTCAAAGAAAAAATGGGCTGGAACGAAATTCAGCCACCTGGACCAGGCAAATGTGAATAAAACTTTACATTTAACGCCCTAACATAGAACAAAGGGTGCGCCTCATTCGTCTTCAGCAGACTTAGAACTCACCCAGCCGGACTTTCCCTTCGGTCCATGTTTCATACGGTAAAACTTCAGGGTCTACACGAACATCCTAAGATAATTTGAAAGCGACGGCCGAAAAAAAAGTCGCTCTGATGGGTCTGATGCGGCCCAGCGCACCACACAGAAAGACAAACGAAGAAAGTGAAAACAAACAAACGAATCAAGGATAGGTAAATATCTTCTGAAGTAAAAACGATATTGAGAAAGCATCATTTAAATGACGTCATGAAGTTCTTGAGAAGAAACTGTCAAAAGTCGGAATGCGCAGAGATGTGCAGATACAGATCATTTATGTAGACTTGTCTCCAGCCATGGAAGATCAGTATCTTCAGTTCGGCTTTTACATTGCAACTTAGAGCCATGCATCTTCAATGTAGATTAGCCTGGACCGCTATTTAGTAGCCGGCACCCTCTGTGCACTGCGGTACAGCATCAGTGGCGTATCTAGGATTTCTCTCAGGGGGGATCCGCAGTCAAAAGGGCCCTTGACTGACTGGGTTGAAAGGGCCCTTAAGTGGCAAAAGGGCCCTTGAAGCCTGAGTTGAAAGGGCGTTAGCCCGCGCCCCGTATGGGGGGCGGGGGGGGGGGGGGCGAAACGGTCCCCTGTCCTCTTCCGTAGCTATCTCCTAAATGACTGCAGATATCGCCACCAAACTTTCAGGACCTCTCCGGGCATCCATTTTATACATTGTGACCTTTTTCCAGAGGCTATGATAGGTTGGCCGCAAATACGTCAGAATGACGTCATGTTCTGCCATTTTCGACCCAAAAAATGTTTCGCAGGAAGAGCTATCAGGCCTACAGAGCTGTAGAAACAAGAAAATGTTCCGATATAAAAAGTGTACAATTAACAGGCTTAGGTCAAATCTGAGCACAGTTTACAGAAAGAGCGTTAAAAGAGCTTTGTTTGTTTTGTTGGGTTGGACCCAGGCCCTTTCGGCTTTCGGTCTGACGAGACCATTTCAGGGCCGGAGGGATGATAGGAATTGAGGGAGACATTGGTCTGGGCGGGCACCTTGGTGACTCACTGGGGCTGAGCCTGTCCAACAGGACAGGCCGACCAGCCTCCCAAGTGCTCACTGCACCCGGTTACGAGTGTGCTTCCTTTGGAGCTGCAGTGCGCTCCAATGGGAGCCGCCCGCATGGAATAAATTTGCCCGTCCAGGTCCAGCCCGGATCAGGGGTTGCGGCATGGAGGAGAAGGATTTGAATGTCCTGAGGATGGAAACGGCGAAAGGGGTGTTAAAAGAGCTATTAAAGGGACCCTCCCACCTTAACATTAGTTTTGAGTTGAGATAGCCAAGTTTGCGGCCAGGCTCAGAAACCACCATTTATCCTGGTCGCAACCCCCGCAGCTTTATGGTGTTCAAGAAATTTCTTCCCTTTACTTGCAGGGTGGGACCAGCGTGGTCCCTATCTCTTAACCATTACGGGAATCTGATGACGTCATCAGGCTTTCGAACGTCCGTTAAATGTTTGACTAAAACGTTTTGTAGCACGCGGTGGTATATGCTGCTTTGCGCGCAACAAATGCCGCACTTTCAAATAAAGTCGCTAGGAACAGCGGAGATCCCAAAAAGTAAACAAAAGTAAAAGTCTAATATCTTGAAAACCGGTGAATATTTTTCGATGAAATTTGGTAGATATTCGTTTTTGCTCTTTCTGAATCGAGCGACATCACTTTCATGCCAATTCAGTAACTTTTTTGAAGGTGGGAGGGTCCCTTTAACTACGCTTTTCCCCGGTACTGTAGCTCTATTCATTTCCGAATCATGCGGTGGTTTGTTGAAAATTGTCGAAATTGGACCTGAAGATTGGCGAAATTTAACCTTGGATGACCTATGTGAACTGAATTTTGAACTGATCTAAAAAGCGACAGGCGTAATTTCGTCATTATTGTTTGCTTGCGTCCCTTCGAACACTGCCTTAGGCGTGTTGGTACGTGGCTCAGAAGCCGAGTTATAGATGCAGGGGTGCGGAGCCGGAGCTGGAGCCGGAGGAGCCGCCGGTCATTCTACACTGGACCAGCTAGCCCGTGTCACCCAGACCATCTTTGACGGCTTCGAATCCAAGAAGCCGCAGCGAGCCATCCTCGTCCTCCTGGACTATGCGCGAGCGTACGACCGGGTGTGGCGGGATGCGCTGTACGCTAAGATGCGGCGACTGGGTATACCGGGCTGTGCCACACGCTGGATCAGGGCCCTACTCAGCGACCGGCGCGCTAGAGTGAGATGGGGCACGTCAACCTCCCGGTGGCGGGTCTTCCAGGAGGGCCTGCCGCAGGGTAGCGTGCTCGCCCCTCTCCTCTGGCTCATCTACTGTAACGACATCGACGACCAACTCCGGGCCGGAGACTCGAGCCCAACAGTCTCCCTCTTCGCGGATGACGTGGCCCTTCTCGCGACGGGCCGCTCTCTGCAGGAGTGTGCGGACAGGCTCCAACCGGCCCTGGACGAGGTCAGCCGCTGGGTGAAGACTTGGAAGGTCCAACCTAGTCCATCCAAGTGCGTGATGACCACCTTCACGCTGGACCCCAAGGAGTGCGGCGGCAAGGTCAAGCCCCAGCTCAGCTTCTGCGACCATCCGCTAGGCTACGAGGAGACGCCCACCTTCCTCGGCCTGAAGCTGGACTGTCAGCTGACCTTTGCCGCCCACATCGCCGCCCTCAGAGAGAAGATGGCAAAGCGCCGAGCTTGCCTGTCAGCGATTGCCGGGAGGAGCTACGGAAGCCACCGTAGCACACTCCGCATCGCCTACAAGAGCTACGTGCGCTCCCTCTTCGACTACGGGGCGGCCATCTACTTCACCCATGCGGCACCGGCTGTTCGCGAGCGCCTGGAGGTAGAGCAGCGGAAATGTGCGCGCCTGATTACCGGCTGCATCAAGCTCACGGATAAGGAGACCCTGGTGGCGGAGGCAGGCCTCCCTCCGCTATCACTCCGTGCCAAGGAGCTGGCAGCCGGCGAGTACGCGCGCATAGTCCGTCTACCTCCGGGAGACCCCGCTCGCAACCTACTGGACAAGACACCACCACCGAGACTCCGCTACCGGGCCCACGAGGCATGGAGGCGCGCGGTGACGTCTGCCGGGGAGGCGGGTCTGCCACCGCCACCGCCGGCAGACGAGGACGCGACCCTCTCACACAAGCCATGCTTTCGTCGGGTCGGTAGGTGGGCCTGCGACAGGGCGGGCTTGAGCGACCTCCCAGTGGAGCCCCTGGCACTCTACCAGGGCGCACCACCCTGGCACCACTGTGGAGACGCCGTCCGTTTCGTGCTGGACCTGCCGCAGCCCACAAGGAGGACAGACCAGCCGGAGAAAAGAAAGGAGGCGGCGCTAGCGGCGCTGGCCCTCGTCCCCGACCCAGACTGCACTATCTGGTCGGACGGATCCGCCAAGGAAGGCACCATCCAAGGCGGCGGTGGAGCGATCCTGGAGCTCCACCGCGAGGGACGCACAATCGAGTGCGTGGCACCGGCCGGTCGAGTGTGCAGCAGCATGAGGGCGGAATTGGTGGCAATGACGGAGGCTCTGACACGCCTCCAGGAGCTACCGGCCCCCTCGAGAGCACTCATCAAGAGAGTGCTGCTCTGCACAGACTCCCGGTCGGGGCTCCAGCTACTCAGCCGCGGCCCGGATGACCAACAGTCGGCCATCGGCCAGCGCGTCTGGGGCCTAATAGACGCGCTGACAGCCGCAGGGACGGACATCACCCTGCACTGGGTCCCGGGCCACGCCGACCTCGCCGGCAACGAGGCAGCTGACCGCCTCGCTAACCAAGCCGCCGCCGACTGCGCTCAAGAGGAGGCCCCGATTGACCTACCCAGCGCGCGGACAGCTATTCGCCGCTGGACATCGGAGCTGGCCTCCGCACGAGCGCAGCGACACCCTCACCGAGACCCTACTCCGAGCCACGATGAGCTGGACAGGTGGGGCCAGGTCACCTTGTCCCAGCTTCGCACTGGATACTGCCCACTGGTGCGAGCCACAGCCCATCGTCTCGGTTTGGTCGCAGACTCGACCTGCCGAGCTTGTGGCGAGGAGGAGGAGGACGTGGAGCACCTCCTGGTCGGGTGCCCCGCACACGTGGCGGCGAGGGCCGGCTTCTGGGGGCACTGTCCTACCCTGGAGGAAGTGTTCTCGGGGCCGGCCGAACATGTCATCAACTTCTTGAGAAGAGTGGGGCGGGTGCAGGTCGCCACCGACCCGCCCCCGCCGGCCGCGCCCTAGGCGCGGTCCGCGACCGCGCAGAGAAGAAGAAGAAGGAGCCGCCGGTGCCGGCAGGCGGCATATTTTGCCTGGAGCCGGAGCCGGAGCCGTGAAACAATATAGCCCGGAGCCCGAGCCGGAGCGGTAAAAAAGGCGGCGACTCCGGCTGTTTTTTTTTTTTTTTTGAAGAGGAAAACATTATTGACCTAGCTCGGTTTCACAGTACCTGCAAGGCAGTAAAATATGTGGTATTCAAAATAGCCTTGTTATGCAAATACAGAAACAACGTGAACCAATCCTTCATCTTTTCTTTTCCACCCGTATTTATTTGTATAAAGGATGAACTGAGTACTGGATTCGAAGCCGGAGCCGGAGCCGGAGCCGAAGCCGATTTTTTTTTTCTCCGGAGCCGGAGCCGTCTGAAACTTCCACGCCTCCGCATCCCTGGTTAGAAGGACCCTGGCCGGGCGGGGGGGGGGAGGGCGGGGGTGCCACCACATCGTTTTTTTTTGCGACAGCTTGGAACACGTCGGCAGGCAACAGAGAGCCAAAACTGGGCATAGCTACCTGACCTTTGATGCAAACCGGGCCTTGTGACGCCCGCATTTTCACGGAGGGCCTCTGGTCGTCTTAAGGACCCTCTGTTACCCTCAGAGGGACCCTCTGATGGCCTCTGAAGACCATCACTGGCCTCAAAGGGTCCTCTAGTGGCCTCCATGGACCTTCTGGGTACCTGAAAGGTCCCTCTGTTTTCTCTCCAGGGGCCCTTTTTACCTCAAAAGGTTCTCTTTTACTTCAAATGACCGTATGTTGGTCTAATACACAGGGGTGAAAAATTGTATCGTTTTGTCGTTGTCGACGACAACCGAGAAGACGATCTTATGGCGACCACGCGCAGCGCCTGAACTGATTTAGATCTCCCGCTTAGTGCGGTTAGAAGCGCGCAATCCATTCGTATCTGCCCACCCAACCCAATCGCCTCTCCCACGCAAACCATTCTCTGTCCCCCCCCCCCCCCATCAAATCGACTCGCAGTTCTCGAGTCCGTTACCACCCTACGCGGCGGCATCCGCCAGTGGAAAATTTCCTGGTAGCTACAGACATATTCCAACTCC